CGAATTCAATTAAAAAGGAAAGAAATTGAAAGTAAAAATAAACACTTTACTACAAAATCATCATTATTTGTAGACCGTATGAGAATCAACTCGAAAACTCTTAAATTATTATTTTTTTTAGATTTTATCAAGTAATCAGGTAGAAGATAAATATATACTTTCAAAGTCTTCCCTATATGCATCAAATACCAAAAAGGTGTAATGGGAGAAAGCCAAGTCTATACAAAAACAATATAAACCGTAAAATATCTAGGATTAAACCTAACCAAAAAGAGTGTGATTGACATGAAGAAAATGGAATTTTACAGAGAAATATAAAAGATTTTCATAAAAGGAGAGACACGCTACATATAAGAATGGAAACACCAACTACTACTAATGGTAATACAAGGTGTCATTTACTGAGAGGTGGAGAATAAGAGAAGTTGGTAATATTTAGTTATTTTGATTAATGACTACCTACTATATACCAAGGATTATTCAAGGTGTTTCACATCCTATTTTCATTTTATTTCATCCTTCCAACTAGCCTATCAAGTACTACTATACCCATTTTACAGGTAATGTTAAGATGTCTAGGTTTCACCCCAAATGCATATAGCTTTAACAAAACACCTGTATAAATTCCATGGAATTTTTTAACATGATAAAATTATTCTAAAGTTCTTCTGAAAGAAGGTGTGATGGGAAAGTAAAAATTTTAAAGAGTAATGCCCCAGAAGAATTAACAGAGAAATCAGAAAAGAAACAGATCCTAGTACACACAAATTTTTAACATTTGTTCAAGGAAGCATCACAAACCAATGGAAAAACATCATTGATTATATTTTAAGTTATGTTGAGAAAATTTACTATTTTGGGGGCAAAAAATGATCCCTTGCTTCATATCGCACATCAAACTAAGTCCCAGAAGTTTTAATGAATCACTTTAAAAACATACACACACATCAACATCACAAACTGGAAGAAACCATACAAGGATAAACCGAGCCTAAAAGCAAAAAAATTACAATGAAAAAGTTCAACATATTTAACTATATAATAAAAACTTCTATAGTTTATGAAGAAAATGTAAAGGTAAACACACTGGGTGAAATATTGGCAATGTATATGGCAAAGGGTTGATATACTAGTATGTAAATAAGTTCCACCAAACCAATTTTTAAAAAGACAAAAATATCAATAGAAATATGGACAAGGAATAAGAACAGGCAACTGACAGAAGGACTGTTCAGATTTTCTATTTCTGCTAATGTCAGAAATAGATGTAAGTTTTGGTAAATTGTGTTTTACTAGAAATTAGATTATTTCATTTATTTTTTCACTGAAATAAATTTTTATAATATTCTCATATATATATTTTAGTGTCTATAGGATCTAAAGGGACGTCCCATTTTTAACTCCTGATATTGGTAATTTGTAGCTTCTCTCTATTTTCTTGGTCAATCTTTCCAGCACAGAACCAGTTTTCGTTTATGTTGATCCCTTCTGCTATATGTTTATTCTATTTCATTAATTTCTGCCTTTAATTTTACTATATCTTTCTTTTTTCTGAGTTTGGTTTTAGTTTGCTGTTCTTCCAACTTCTTAAAATGGATAGATCATGGACTTTCCCTTTTTCTTTTTTCCTAACACATGCATTAGGGGTTATGAACTTCCTTCTAAGCAAGGCTGCATCCCTAAATTTATAAAGTAATTACAGGAATTTGCCTATTCTTGAAACTAAAATCAGTTAACCAGGTGAATTAATTTTTCAATAGCAATGATAATGGAAAGACAGTGGCAAAGGAGATGGAACTTTTGGTTAAAGATAAAATTGGTTAGAGTAGAGACTGACCATAAATGAGCAATGAATTCAGGAAACTAAAACAACAAGATAATGCGATCATGAAAAAAATTTTCCTAAATGTGAATCAGAGTTTGTCTTTATTTCTCCAGTAGTCTGACTACAGATGTTCCATCCTCTTTTAATGGGATCAATGTTCACTTCTCCCAAAGCATTGATATTACCATACACTGTCCCTGAGTGGCGGCCGGGACTGGGAGAAGAACGGGTGGTAAAACCATTGACCAGAGTTCAGCAGATGAGTCATTCCTACTGATATACTGCAAAATTTTCCTGGAATTGATACAGTACAGAGGAAGAGAGAAAAAAGCCCACAATAACTGAAAGAGATTCAATCAGTAAATCTGTCTGCTGGTTGGAACAGAGCCCTATCAGGCCACACGCACCCACACGCACGCGCACGCATACGTGCACATATGCGCGTCAAAAAGTTTTCAGAAAAGGAGAAATAGTAAACCGGAACTATTGTCTCCCAGAGTCCTGTCTAGTTTCTCACGTTGTCTGAGTGGAGTATCCCAAGGCTCAGCGCTGACTCCCCTGTCCTTCTTGATTTACATCCTCCCCTTGAGAAGCCCTGGCTTTCAACACGGTCTCCCAAACTCCAGAGTGAGTGCAGAAGTGCGTATAACAGACGTCTCCAATTTAGAACGTCCAAAACTGGACGCCTCATCTCCTCTAAACTCTGCTCTCCATGCAGCCTTTTTCATCTCGGTTCATGGAAATGCCTTTTTCTTTTTCTTATAATTTTAGGCTCACAGAGAAATTGCAAAAATAGTGCAGAGTTCCTGTGAACCCTTCACCCAGCTTTCCTCTCAGAAGAATGTCTTACACAACCATAGTACAATTATAAAAACCAGGCAATTGTCATTAGTACAATACTATTAACTAAATACAGACCTTATTCAGATTTTACCAGTTTTTACATGCATTCTTTTTGTTCTTTGCTACATAGTTCTATGAAATGTTATGACGCAGTTAGATTTTTGTAAACAGCAGTAGATGCAATCAGTAGACAGAGCTCCCTCTTGCTGCCAGTCTACAGTCACATTCTCCTCCCTCTGGCTGTAACCCCAGGCCAACACTGTATGTTCCCCATCACTATAATTTCGTCATATCAAAAATGTTGTATAAATGGAATCATATGCATGTAACCTTTTGAGATTGGCTTTTTTTACTGAGCATAATACCCTCAACATCCATCCAAACTGTTTCATGTACTCTTTTTTTTCTTTCTTTCTTCCTGAGTAGTATTCACTTATATGGAAATACTGCCATTTCTCCATTGAAGGATATTTGGATTGTTTCCAGCTTTTGCCTGTTACAACTAAAACCACTCTGGATGTTTGTGTACAAGCTTTTGTTGAATATAAGTTTTCATTTCTCTAGGATAAATACCCAGGAGTGGGATTGCTAGATTACATGGAAAGTGGGTATTTAACTTCATAAGAAACTGCCGAACTGCTTTCTAGAGTAGCCATGCCATTGTATATTCCCACCAAAGATGTCTGAGACCCAGTTGCTCCACATCCTCGTCAGCACTTGCTATTGCCTGTATTTTTATTTTAGACATTCTAATAGGTAAGCTGTAATATCTCATAGTGGCTTTAATGTGAATTTCCCTAATGGCTAGTGATGTCAAGCATCTTTTCATGTGCTTATTTGCCATGCTTTGTTGAAGGATCTGTTCAAATTTTTTTTCTCATTTTCAAATTGGATTGTTTGTTTCTTGCTGTTGAGTTTGAAGAGATTTTTTTTTAACATATTCTGGATACAAATCCTTGGTGGGACATATGATTTGCAAATCATTTTTCCCATACTGTGACTTTATTTTCATTCTCTTAATGGTGTCTTTCACAGAGCAAATATTTTTAATTTTGATGAAGTCTAATGTATCGATTTTTTTCTTTTATGGATCATGCTTTTGGCGTCATGTTTAACAACTCTTTGCGTCCTCATGGGTCACGAAGATTTTCTTCTGTGTTTTCTTCTAAAAGTTTTATAATTGTACACTTAGACCTATGGTAAATTTTGAGCTGATGTTTGTACAGGAGATACACTACCTTTTCAGTTACTCAGGCCGAACATGCTGACGTGACCTTCGACTTCTCTCTTTCTCTTACACCCCACATCAAAACCACAGGCACTTCTGCTGCTTCCCCCTTCTCCCCAGTTCCACATCTGCCACCCCAGCCCAACCCACTGTGATCTCTCATCTGGATCTACTACATGTGCCTCTGTCTTCTTTCCTTGTCCTGCACAGTCTGTCTCAACACAGCAACAGAAACAACCTTTGTGAAGCATAAGAGAGATCAGGCCATCTTCTGCCAAAAACGCTCCAGGAGCTCCCGTTTCTCTGTAGGATCTGCTCCCTCCCTCCCTCCTCTGACCGCATATCCTAGGGCTTTGCCAGGCAATCCTTCCACCCCCTCCTCCCTGGCTTCCTTGTGCTTTTTGGACCAGCCCAGGCATACTCCCACTTCAAAGTCATTATACGGCTGTCCCCCTGACTGTAATGCCCCTCCACCAGATAGCCACATGGCTAACTCCCTCCCCTCCTCAAAGACTTTAGTCGAATACCACTTTGCAATGAGGCCTCCCCAACCTCTACAATTTGAACCTGCTGCTTGTCACCTACCAGCACTCCCATCACCCTTACCTTGTTCTACTTTTTATTTTTCCATAGCACTTATCATCTCCTAATGCGTCTCCTAGTTTACCTATGTATTATATCTATTGTCTTACCGTCTATCACCGCCCCTGCTAGAAAATAACCTCTGTGAAGGCAGAGCTCCTAGTTTTGTTCACTGACGCATCCCATGACCTCAGAAGTGCCTGTCAATAATAGGGACTCAAGAAGGCTCTTTTTGAATGATAGCATTTCTTAAATCAGTGATTCTCAAAGTATGGTATGCCAACCCTTGGGGATTCCTCAGTTCTTTCAAGAGATCCACAAGTTCAAAACTATTTTCATAATAATACTAAGATGGTATTTATCTTTTCCACTGTATTGACATTTGCACTGATGGTGCAAAAGCAATGTGGATAATACTACTGGCACCTTAGTGCCGATCACTCATAGCCTGATCCCCTGGCCCTGGAAGTAAAGTTGTACAGAGGAATTCAAATTAGAAAATACATACGTGTATTTACTCACTTGCCAACTTTCACAAACTCCTGGTGGCCAGGAGACAAAACTATCCAGGAGTGATCTTCTCTTCTGCAAGTAAACATAGATATTAGCCATCCTTTTCTCTCATGGGTGTGGTAATGCAAGAGCCATTGAAAACTTCTGCTATGATTTCACACATATTCTGGCTTCAAAAACACCTTCTTAAGTGATATTAAGTCAGTTTTTATTGTGTTTAAGGAGACTTTTAATCATCAAGCTAAGTATCTCAAATATTATTTTGATGCATTTTCATCTTCAATTTCTTGTCAGTTCTAAGCATGCGTTTTAGTCAGAACTCTTTCTATTGCAGGTGCTAGAAACCTAACTTTAAACTAAACCAGACTTAAAAAAAAAAAAAAAAAGAATTATTAGCTCACAGAAAAGCTGGCTCAGAAGGCCCTGGTGTTGGGCTCAAGCACAGGCAGATCCAGGGACTAACGCCCCCAGGACTTGTGTCTCCACTGCTTGCCTCTGCCTGGCTGCATTCTGCATGCAGTCGCTCTCCACCTAAGCGAGTCAAGACAGCAAGCACTGCCATGCCCCGTCTCGTATCTCATATTATCCCAGATTAGCAAATGAGGCCGAAAGACAACTTCATTCTCCCAGCATCCATGTTTCTCTCGCGCGCTCGCTCTCTGTCTCTCTCTCTCTGATTCTCTGTCTCTCTGTCTCTGTCTCTCTCTCTCTCTCTCTCTCACACACACACACACATACACACACAGCTTGGTCATGATTGAATCATGTTTCCACCTCAGTGAGCCCAACTAAATGGTGTACCAAGATTGGTCCAGACCTGGTCACACACTGTCTCAGGGTTCTCCAGAGAAACAGAACCAACAGGATATACAACATATATATATATATAGTATATAATATCTATCTCCATACTGTATATCTTCATATAATACATATATCCACATAATATATATATATGTCCAAATTATATAGAGAGATATATTATGAGGAATTGGCTCACATGATTGTGGAGGCTAAGTCCTGCGACCTGCCATCTGCAAGCTGGAGACCCAGAAAAGCCAGTGGTGCCAGTCCAGTCCGAGTCCACAGGCCCGAGAACCAGGGAGCTGATAGTGTAGGTCCCAGGCCCAGGGTAGGAGAAGACCAACGTCTGGGCTCAAGAAGACAGGTAGGAAAGGAACAAATCCTTCTTTCCTCCACTTTTTGTTCTATTCAGGCCCTCAGTGGATTGGATGATGCCCACTCACTCAGGGAGGGCAAGCTACTTCACGGAATCCATGGATTCCAATGTTAATCTTATCCAGAAACACCCTCACAGACACACCCAGAAACAATGTTTCATTTGGGCACCCTGTGGCCCAGTCAAGTTGACACATAAAATTAACCATCACATACGCCAACACTGGAAGGGATGTGTATATGTGTGAGACCCCATTACACACACCCCCAAGGGCAAATGGAGTTGCAAAATGATGGATCCACAAGAAAAAGATGGTGGTCAACAAAAAAGAGCTTCCCACTACAACATAAGACAGAATCCCTGTTTATTTGTACTCGCTGCTCCCACAGCTGAGCATCTTACAGAGACAGTATATAGTTTCTATATAGGCAGTGCTTGACTTTAAATATTTTTCAGAATCATAGCTCTATAATTTAAGAACTCTCTGATTTGAGGGAGTGGAGTAAACTGACACTAGAAAATGAATCACCTCCTGGCTCATCCCACCCCATCTAACTACTCCAGAGAAGAGAAATTATAATTGGTAGTGGGCAAATTATTTAAAAAAGTGGAGACAGGGTGGAGTTAGACAATTCACTGGATAACTTAATTGGGAAATAAACCAGAAAAGGCTATATCTGATAGGTAAAATGCGGACCTGCTTAATAGTGATTGAGTTTTTCCTCCAGAAACACCAATGTCTCTAGATACTAGTATTGTGAAAGGAAACTCATTAACAGTCTCTTAATTTTGTGGAAGAATTTCCACGTACAACAGAATGGGAGGATATGAAATGGAGAATCTCACGCATGCACCCTCAGAAAAACAGAACGTAAGAACTGAGAGACTGATTTTCCGTAAATGCCCGATTTACAAAAGACCAAAATTTATCGCGTGACCAGTGAACCTCCACCAAGAGTCTCTCCACCCTCAAGCCAATAAATTTACGGCTTGGACTCTGGCTGGACTCACGCATCATTGCATCCTCGCCTGTAAATACAGCCTTTCCCAAACCCGCAGTGGACTTTCCTCGAGCTTGCTACAGTTTGCCTTTCCCAAATGGCCATTCCTCTGCTATTCCCGAATATACGTCGAGCTTGCTACAGTTTACCTCTTTATTTGGGTTAATAATTTGTTCTTAGAACGCAAGTCTACAAATCACAGGGCTGTGAGTGGGGGCCGCTCCCTGTCAAGGTCTCTGGCTACAGTGGACACTGTTGGTGCCACCGCACACCTCCCCTCCCCGTGGCCACTTCAGAGCATGCAGCCTGCTAAATTAATTAGACAAGGAGGCCGTTAGATGAGGGGGCTTTAATGGGAGTGGGCCTACCTAAGCGAGTCAAACTCTAAGCCTGTAAATGCCTCAAGGTTATGAAATGGAAACCCAAGGACAACCAATCGCAAACAATAGGCTTTAAGCTCTAGCCAATCAATCATTTCCTTACTCGCTTCCGCCTTTCTCTCTGGGTCTCTCCCCAGCTCCTGACTGTGGTGGTGGGTTTCTAACACTTTCAGTTTGGCGCTGCCTGATTCGCATGGATTTTTGCTCAAATGAACTCTTAAAATTTTTAATAAGCCTCAGTTTACCTTTTAACATGACTGACTTCCACTTTACCAGGACCTCACTTCTTTACCTTCTTTGCCTTCTTTGGCCACCTGAGCACACCGTGCCTCCCACGCAGGAGGCTGAAGTGCGGGAACTCTGCCCCTCCAACCTCCCTGATGTCCGGGAGTTGGTGCTGGTGACTGCGGGGCGTCTGCTAGGCTGCCTGGCAGAGAGCACAGTGGACCAAACCAGCTGCCCACAGGGGTAGCTGGCTTGATAACACACGCTCTCTTGGCTGTCTTCACTTCCTTCTCTCAAGCCCCACCGCCAGTGGATGTTTCCTTCAGCTGCCAAATAAACTACTCTTACTTGAATCTTTGTCTCACGATCTGCTTCTAAAACAAGAGACAAACAGAAAAGGATTAAAAAACCCACATCTTGGGGCCAGCCCAGTGGCATAGTGGTTAAGTTTGCGCACTCCGCTTTGGCCACCTGGGGTTCACAGGCTCAGATCCCAGATGTGGACCTACGCACTGCTCATCAAGCCATGCTGTGGGGGTGACCCACATACAAAACAGAGGAAGATTGCCACAGATGTTAGCTCAGCAACAAGCTTCCTTAAGCTTCTTTAAGCAAAAAGAGGAAGTTTGACAACAGATTGTAGCTTAGGACCAATCTTCCTCACCAAAAAAAAGCCACATCTCTAGTGGGCCAGCCATGCTTTTCCTACGCTTTGAAGTACACAGATCTTTTTTCCCAGCTTTCTTGAGGTATAACTGACAAACACAACTGTACATATTTAAGGCACACAACATGATGATTTAATATGTGTTTACATTGTGAAATGATTACCACAGTCAAGTTAGTTAACACATCCATCACCTCACATGGTTACCATTTGTGTGTGTGTGGTGAGAACACTTAAGATCCACTCTCTTAGCAAATTTCAAGTATATAATCCAGTATTATTAATTATAGTCACCACACTGCACATTACATCCCCAGAATTGAGTCACCTTATGACTGCAAGTTTGCAGAGTATGTAGATCTTAGACCAATAAGGTGCTACGTCTCCAGCAGTCACTGCTTTGCTAACTTTAATAAACTGGAAGACTTATGGCACAAAAATGAAAGAAAAAGCCCCATGAATATATACACTTGACACCCACAGAAAGCATTTAGAGTCACCCTTGGGCCCCCCTCCAAAACCAAAATGTAAAAGAATATAAAATGAATTTAGAGAGGGAGTAACCAAGGTCACCTGGTTCCTTGCATCAACCCTCAGTCTTCCTGAGCATAAATGAATAGTAGAAGCAAATGAGTGTGTAGAGAATGGAATGGGAGGAGCAGGGATGCCCCACCATTTAGTATACAGCTCCCTCATGTGGCATACAACCCCATGGTGACTGCTATGCTGCCTCATTTTCTGGTCACCTCCTTTGTGTGTCTGCACTTGAACAAACCTCAAGGGCAACACCCCTTGGTGAACTGACATGCATAATTATCACATATAGAACACATAGATTACACTCTATATGTTCTGCTTAAGATGGGAGGAAATCAAGCAATACATTTGGAAAGAATATTACTTAATTGCTTAAAAGAAAAAAGGCAGCTCTTGAAGGCGTAAGTTTTAGGTGTTCAGAAAACTTACTCTAACAGATCCTTCCCCCCAAAGTCATATCAGCTGTTTATATTGTGTTCTGAGATCCCTCCCCTCCATTTCTTAATTAAATATTTTAAAGGCAGGCATAAAGCACTTGTGTGTCACATGTAATAAGTATTCATTTAAGTGATGTTGGGCAAGTACTCTACCAAATGAGCAATTTAAAAACAGAAGGTATTTTACTCACAATTGCTTATAGATATTCAGTATAAATATAAATACACAAACAAAAGCCTACAAATATTGCACTCCTGTTGCAAATAACCACAGACTTTAAAATATCAATTTGCTTTAATAGTCCAAGCAGCTCATGAAAATTCATTGTCAAGGAAGGACCAAAACGAGTCAAGAGAACAGTGTGTTCTTTGTCTTTTCCTTCAATTATCTTTACGTAATTCCTATTTCTGTGATGAGACATTTGGGAATATTGATTGCTTTCTTAAAAATCTACTGATTGCCGCAGTACATGCCAGAATTTCAGGTGGTTATTTAAAAAGTATGTAGGAAAGAGGAGTTCCAGTAAATTAATTATAAATCTTAACTTGCGAATTGAATTATTTACTATGGAATAAATAATTTTTACTTTTTTGGGAACTTAGTCTCTAAAGCAATAACACTCCAAAGATGCTTCACACTTAAAG